AGCATGATGTTTCTAAGATTCATCCATGTTGTAGCATGTATTAAGACTTCATTAATACTTCACTCCTTTTTATGACCAAATAATATTGCATTGTATAGATGGGTATACATTTCACATATTCATTCATCAGTTGAGAGATATTTGGGTTGTTTCCACTTTTTGGCTATTATGCATAATTCTGCTATTAACATTTGTGTACAAGTTTTTGTGTGGGCATATATTTTCATTTCTCTTGGATATATATGTAGGAGTTAACTACTGGGTCAAGTGGTAACTCTATGTTTAAATTATTGAAGAAATGCCAGACCGTTTTTTTTTTAATTAACATATAATGTATTGTTTGTTTCAGGGATACAGGTCTGTGATTCATCAGTCTTACACAATATACCGTGCTCACCATAACACATACCCTCCCCAACGTCCATCACCAAACCACCCCATCCCTCCCACCCCCTCCACGCCAGCAACCCTCAGTTTGTTTCCTGAGGGTAAGAGTCTCTTATGGTTTGTCTCCCTGTCTGGTTTTCTGCCAGACTGTTTTCTCAAATGCCTGCAATATTTTACATTTTTACCTGCAGTGTATGAGGGTTTTGATTCCTCCATATACTCACCAACTCTTGTTTTTATCTGTGGTATCTCATTGTGGTTTTGATTTGGATTTTTCTGATGACAAATGATGTTGAGCATCTTTTCATGTGGTACTGGCCATTTATATATCTTCCTTAAAGTAATGTCTATTCAGATCCTTTGCCCATTTTTAAATTGGATTGTCTTTATGCTATTAGTTGTAAGAGTTCTTTATGTATTCTATCTAGGTACAAGTCTCTTGCCAGATATATGATTTGCATACATTTTATTTTTTTTTAAGATTTTATTTATTTGACAGAGGGAGAGCATGCGAGAAAGAACGCACGAGTGGGGGGAGGGGCAGAGAGAGAAGCAGACTCCCCCACTGAGCAGGGAGCCCAATGCGGGGCTCAGTCCCAGGACCCAGAGATCATGACCTGAGCCAGAGACAGCTGCTTAACCAACTGAGCCACCCAGGTGCTCCGATTTGCATACATTTTCTCCCATTCTTTGGGCCCATCCATCTTAAAATTAAGAACAACTGACCCCAATGTCCATTAAATAAATATAAATAGGAAGAACAGACAAAATAGGACATTGAATAGAGTAGGAAATAGGAGAGATTGAAAGAAAAAGAGGGAAAGATATAAATTCACACACAAAATTCAGAGAAAAAGAAATGGATATATAAAGACTTTCATAAATTTAGTGTGGGGTTGATAAACTTTTTCTTTTTTTAATTTTTTAATTGATTTTTTAAAAGATTTTGTTTATTTATTTATTTATTTATTTGCCAGAGAGAAAGAGAGACAGAGAGAGAAGGAACAAGCAGGGGGAGTGGGAGAGGGAGAAGCAGGCTCCCCGCCGAGCAGGGAGTCCCACATGGGGCCCGATCCCAGGACCCTGGGATTATGACCTGAGCTGAAGACAGACATTTAACGACTGAGCCACCCAGGTGCCCCTTCTTTTTTTTCCCCTAAAGATTTATTTATTTATTTTACAGAGAGAGAGCATGCACTTCAGTGGGGGGAGGGGCAGAGAGAGAGAATCCTCAAGCAGACTCCCTGCTGAGCGCAGAGCCCATGGGACTCCATCTCACAACCCATGAGATCATGACCCATGAGGTCTTGACCTGAGCCAAAACCAAGAGTTGAACGCTCAACCAACTGAGCCACCCAGGCGCCCTGATAAACTTTTTCTTAAAAGTCCAGTAAATATTTCAGACTTTGCAGGCCATACAGTCTCTGTTGCAACTACTCAACTCTGCTGTTGTAGTACAGAAGCAGCAATAGACAGTATGTACACAAATGGTCATGGTGTTCCAGCAAACTTTATTTACAAAAACAGGCATCTGGCCATGGTCAGTAGCTTGCTGACTTTGAGGTCATATGTTTTGCTACCATATACGTAAGTAATTACCACATATGCCATTTGAGAAAATCAGGTCAAGGCCTGATCTCATCAATAGACCAGACCAGTTCTTCATCCCTTACTTGAATTTAAAAATTGAACAACTGAGATAATCAATGATGCCTTTGAACAAGAAAGGTTTATTTAGTCTAAAATTATTTTACCTGAGAAGTAGGAGGTAATCTGTCAATATTTAGGACTTCTGAATCAGTATACTTGAGGTTTTTTTAAAAGCACTACTGAGCAGGAGGTTGTAGTGTGAGAAGTAATATTGCTTTGATCACAAATTATGCAACTCAAAACTTAACTTCCCGGGGTGCCTGGGTGGCTCAGTCAGTAAGCGTCTGCCTTTGGCTCAGGTCATGATCCCAGGGTCCTGGGATTGAGCCCCGCATTGGGCTCCCGCTCAGCAGGAAGCCTGCTTCTCCCTCTCCCACTCCCCCTGCTTGTGTTCCCTCTCTCACTGTGTCTCTCTCGGTCAAATAAATAAATAAAAAATCTTAAAAAAAAAAAACACAACAAACAACTTAACTTCCTACCTGGTGGGCTGCTATGGTTTTCCTATTCAGAGTGGGTACCTCTGATATCTTATTAACAGTCCTCTAACTGCTTTTGATAAGGAAGCATTTTTAGGGGTCTTTTCTGCTCAAATCTGTTCTCTTTGAGCCCCACAATAATCTACTTCAATTATAAATCTGAACACGTGACTGCCTTTTCAAGACCCTTTGGTGGCTTTTCATCACCTATTATTTCAGATTTTTCAGAGTGACACCTAGTTCTCTTAATGGTCTGGTTTCTCCTGACCTCTCCAATCACATCCACAATGACTACCTCACATCTTATATACCAACGTAAGTTCTTATGTAGGCTATTTATTACCTAATCTATAAGGTAGATTTAGTTCTTTGCAGTTCTTTTATGCACCGTATAGTTTCATACCTCTGTGCCTGGAATGCCTGACTTCCACACTCTGAAGACCAAATAGTTAACTCTTTTTTTAAAAAAAATTTTATTTATTCATTTGACAGAGAGAGAGAGAGAGCATAAGCACAAGTAGGCAGAGCCAAAGGGAGAGGGCGTAGCAGGCTCCCTACTGAGCAGAGAGCCCAACACGGGGCTCCACCCCAGGACCCTGGGATCATGACCTGAGCCGAAGGCAGACATTTAACCTGAGCCACTCAGGCGCCCCAAGATTTATTTATGTATTTTAGAGAGAGAAAAACAGTGTGTGTGCACCAGGGGAGGGGCAGAGGGAGAGGGAGAATCTCAAGCAGGCTCCCAGCTGAGCACAGAGCCAGACATAGGGCTCCATCTGAAGACCTTGAGATCATGACCTGAGCTGAAATCAAGAGTCAGACACTTCATCCACTGAGCCACCCAGGTGTCCCTCTTTTTTTATTGTTATTGAAGAAAATGGTCTTTTGTCCTACAGAGTTGTTCCCAGTGTGGATTTTGTTCATTGTACCCTCGTGGAGTCATTTAATAATGCTGGTCTGTGCTTTGTATTTCCTTAATTCAGGGGTGGGTGGGAGGGTGGGAGAGTGGGTGGGAGGCAAGCCTATTTTATAGCAGTGTTGTGCTCCTCCAAGAGGTACGTAATAGTCTTCCATCTCTTGTTTTGTGTGATGGTAGCCAATGATGAACTTTACATGGATCCATTAATTCAATAGGAGCTACAAAATGCTAATATTTAATTCTGTCATTCCTAGCTAATTTTTTAGGTGGAATACTTCTATAAAGAGAAACTTCCTTTACTCAACTGTATGATTACCTTGAGATATAATTTAAAATACTAAGACCTTTAGATACTATGAAATGAAGGAGTCAGTTTCATAAAAGATAGATAAGACAAAAAAAAGATAACACAAACCAATAGGTTGTGAGAGTCAAAGGTAGATAATGAGTTTACCAATACCTTTGAAGTAAATTGAGTTAGGATCAGGCGTATTTCACTGCAAACTGCTCCCAAGAATGGGTTAAGATGTTTGGGATACTGTCTCCTACTGCTCCACAACCCCTTGCCACTTTAAGTAACTCCTGGGATTCTGAGTGGCTTTTTCTGCAGCTGCACTGTTCAGATTTTTTTAAATGATAATATTTTATTTTTATGAAAACAACCACTTTTTAAAAAAAACTAAAGAAGACTATAATGAAATCTTATGTAACTAGAATTAGTTGAGTTTGCTTTTGATTGGAAAGGAAAGAGCCTAGAGCCTATATAAACTTTTAAGAACAATTCCATAGTAAGGTGGCAAAAGCAACTTGGAAATTAAGGGTGAACAAAAAATTTATGACAAAAGTACCAAGATCTAGGGAAGGACCTTAGACAAAAGGTTTCTAGTCTGAGTAGGGAGGGAAGCAGATGAGACATAAATACTGCTGTGTATTCAAAAGTAGAGCCTGACAAAGCTAAAACACTTTCTAAATATTAACTTTTGCTCTGATTCAGTAATCCCCTGAAAGGCACATCATTATATCAAATGGTAAAACAAAGCAAAAAAAAAAAAATTATTTGCCCATGCCCAGAACTAAAATTCAGGAATAGGTAATCTCCTTCCGTGCTTCTTTGCCCTTTACTGTAGCCACATAAACAGCCTGCAAGTGCCCCTGTGTGAATACCTTGGGGAAAGTAAATTGGTTACCAGTGTTCTGTAATAGCTGTAATGTGGAAGTTGAGTCCGGACTAATAGTAGACAAGTTAGGTCAGAACCAGTTCTAAGCTTGAAAAAGTTTTTTGGTATCACTCTTCTTGCTCAAGATGAAAGATTATGTTTTTAAAGGACCGTTTTACCATGCCAGAATATTCTCATTAAGATATTAAAAAGTCCTTGTCCTGGAAATGAGAAACTTTGGCTTTCCTTACTGCCGAATCCTCTAGTTTTGGGGAATCATGGATTAGGCCAGATGCTCTGGAAGAAAATGCTCAGTATTAAAAGATGAATTGATGGATTTCCCTTTGTTGCCAGAACTAAGGGGAAAGGAGTTATGGGGGTGTATGTCAAAGATCTATTTTTCCCTGATAGGTGTGGAGTTTCCAGAAGAAACAAACAGATCTCCTCATCGCCTTTTATAAGCATAGAATTACAAAGTTAGAAGCAGCCATGCAGGAGGCACAGCAGACGGTGACCAACCAGGAAATGTAAGTGACAAATTAAATCACCAGAGAGCTTTTTTTTCTTTCAGAGGAGCTGTAGCCCTTATTTCCTTACAGTTGCAAAGCCCGAACATTGCTGCATGTGTTTATGTTTGTCTTGGGTAAATCAGGTACAGAATTTTTGGTCCCCTCAATCCCCATTTTGTTTCTCTCTTTCTTCCCTGTAGGGGCCCTCCTCACTTTATAGCTTTCCTCTTGTACTTCCCTGTCAAAAACTGCTTCTTTGGAGAAATCAGGCATAGCTTTTCAGTGATAAAGACGAGAGATGGCATTTAAAATGTTACCTCTAGGGGTGCCTCAGTGGCTCAGATGGTTAAGCATCTGCCTTCAGCTCAGGTCATGATCCCAGGGTTCTGGGATCAAGTCCCACATCGGGCTCCCTGCTCAGTTGAAAGCCTGCTTCTCACACTCCCTCTGCTGCTCTCCCTGATTGTGCTCTCTCGCTCTGTCAAATAAATAAATAAGATCTTTAAAAAATAAATAAATAAAATGTTACCTCTAGGAGAGCATATTTTGGAAATCTTAAGCCAAAAGATGGAATCCTTAATGGACGTTTTCAGACAGCAGCAGGCCAGGGGTGTGTGTGGAGAGGAAATGGAACTCTGTGTAAACTCATCTGAAATCGTACCCAGTGACTGCTTATTTTGTCCACCTCATTCTCCCGGCCATCAAACTCTGCCTCTGTCTACTGAATCCCTAGATCTCTGACAGAGATACCTTGTATAGAGGCAAGCATCTCTCTGTAAGCATTAACTAGATGTCAACAACAATAAAAACTGGGGTTTGTATCATGACCTCCTGGAGATGATTATTTCCATTTTTTGCCTAGAGAGCTGTCAGTCTTAAAGAAGGAAAATGGAGAACTGAAGAAATGTCTTGCCATTCTAAAGGTGAATGAAACAGGTTTTCCTTACTATTATTTTCTCTCCTACTTTTCCCATCTATCTAGCTGACTAGATACTGTATAGAAAATGTTTCCTAACCTTTTCCACATCGTGGCATAAATAACTGATAATATTTATACAAGTGCACTGTAATAAATGGTCAAGGCCACAGAAGAGCTAGGAGGACCGAAAGGATCAGTATGTAGCACACTGGTAACCCATTCTCGAACATCAATAAGTCACGACATACCATTTAGGAAACTCTCTTATTGAAGAGACATCTGTTGTAACTTAAAATTTCTCTTCAAGAATCCCAAAGCACCTTAGGACCCTTCCTCTTCCTCCAATCCAACTCTATTTCCTAGACGTTTCTTTCTTCCTAAGAATGTTCTTTGTATTTATATGATTTTCCTATTGATCCTATTGCTATAACTATTCTAGCACATTTTATCCTGTCATTTTCCTTTCTCTCCCCCATAGACTCTCCATATTTTCCCACATAAATCAGTCTTTGGGATTCCCAATGTGTTTTTATGAAAAGGAACTAAAATTTCATTCCGTCAAAGCTAATAATTTCCTAGGGAAACATTGCTGCTATTTTTTCTCCTACTGGGCATCTTAGCAACCACAGCTAGAGGACATTGCAGCTTAGTTATCTAGCAAGTTAACATTCATTGATTAGAACCCTAATCCTAGCTGCAGCTTCCTTCACTCCCATTTTTTTCACCTACAGGAATCTCCAAATCGGTACCAAGGAAGCAGGTCAGTTTTATCAGGCCCCATACTAGCCCTGTTTGAAAATTGCTCTTCTTTTTTGACTCTTGACTGCAACACCTGTGTGGGCTCTAAGGTGGAGGAGATGGTTGGTGAATTTATCTTTCACTTCTCCAGTTACTCACTGAAAAGGGCTGAAGTGAAATCTTGAATGTAATGCTCACTCTTATGAAATCCTACTCATCCTTCAAAATTCAACTCACATATCATTTCCTCTGTCAAGACTTCATTAAGCAGAGTTTGATGTTCTATTATTCATTTATTCAACAAATATTAAGTGCCTCTTTTTTATCAGGTACCATGCCAGGTGCTGGGTGTACATCACCAGTTAGTCTGTAAGCTACCAACTATTAAATGTTTTTTTTTACCTCAGCCCTGTATTGGTGGGTTAAGAGACATGGCTCCTGCACTCACAGAAGTTACAGTCTAGTGTTCTTTCATGCTTCGGTACTTCTGCTCTTCCCATCATAACATTTAAACATTGCTTTTATTTATTTTTGTCTCTCCCACTAGCCTGTGAACCTTTCAAAGATAGGAACTCTATTCTAGTTATCTTTGTAATCTCAGGATCGAGGATGTATAAACAATAAATACTTGTTAGAGAGATGGATGAGAGGATGGCAGGAGTGAAGGAATGATGGATTTATGAGTGGATGAACAGATGGATAGATACATGTAAAATTGAGAGTACTTGGTAAGGCACTGAAGGAAGGAAGAAAGGAGGACTTCAAAATTTCTCCTATTACGGGCAGTAGAGAAGGTTTCACTTAGAGAGTTAGAGAGCCAAGGAGTCTCATATGGAAACTTTGCCTCCATATTTTGAGATGATACCTGTAATACATGATAGTAAGCAATTTGCGCTCAGATAGTAAGCTGTTGTTTCTATAGACAATGATCTGATTGATCCTCTCACAGGACACTTAACTTCTGCTTAGAGCTTCATCTTTTTTTCCCTTGCAGGTTGGCCACACCTCGACCAGTGGGCATTACTTCTCCCTCACAGTCAGGTAGAGAACATTTGTTTGCCCAAATATCTATGTGAGATGAATAAATCTCCTTTTCCCATATAGAGGGTCGTTTCCTCTCAGAGACTATAATGAGATTTTCCTAATCTTGTGTATGATATGAGAAGAACATACAACCAGATGCCCATTTGTGACAGGTTGGCTAGGCAGGGCAGGGCACGACATGGATGGCAGCTCTTCATTCCTCACTTGATTCTCTTCCAGTCACTCCACGACCCAGTTCTCAGCATAGCAGCCAGGTGGTCAGGTGAGTAGGAAGCCTACACAGCCACATGAAAACTGCTGGCAAAAGTTGGAAGATAAAAGAAATACCTAGACACGTCAGAGGTAGGGACTGAGGAGACTTTAGGTCTATGTCAAGTTTCACACAGGTTTGTTTGTTTTCTTTTTGTCTCACCTTGTACAGTCGGTCCCCCTCAGTGGAATCTATCCCTTACAGAATATCTGGCTTTAGTAGTTTGGGACAAGTAAGTAATAGACAAGTAAGTAATATTTACCTTCTCTTCCCAGATTGAGATTTCTTTTCTTTTTTTTTTTTATTATGTTATGTTCATCACCATACATTACATCATTAGTTTTTGATGTAGTGTTCCGTGGTTCATGATTTGCATATAACACCCAGTGCTCCATGCAGAACTGGGTGTTAATACCCATCACCAGGCTAACCCATCCTCCCACCGCCCTCCCCTCAAGAACCCTCAGTTTGTTTTTCAGAGTCCATCGTCTCTCATGGTTCGTCTCCCCCTCTGATTTCCCCCACTTCATTCTTCCCCTCCTGCTATCTTGATTTCTAATGCTAAATGAAAGCAAAGATGTCAGGCAAGAATATTAAGCTTATATTGGTTTTGGTATAAATTATCCAGTGCCATGCCTGGACTCTTTTCTTTTGGCAGTGCTAAAAAGAAAAAATGTTAGAAGCTAACACAGAGAGGGGTGTCAGAGTGGCTCAGTCAGTTGGGCCGGTTTTGGCTCAGGTCATGATCTCTTGACCTCATGATCTCATGGGTCATGGGATGGGTGGGGCTCCACACTCAGCAGGGAGTCTGCTTGAAAGATTCCCTCCCTCTACCCCTCCCCAAACTCACTCACTCTCACTCTCTAAAATAAATAAATATGTCTTAATAAAAAAAGAGAATCTGGGGCGCCTGGGTGGCTCAGTCATTAAGCATCTGCCTTCGGCTCAGGTCATGATCCCGGCCCTGCATCCGGGCCCCCTGCTCAGTGGGGAGCCTGCTTCTCCCTCTGCCACTCCCCTACTTGTGTTCTCTCTCTTGCTTTGTCTCTGTCAAATAAATAAAATCTTTAAAAATAAATTAAATTAAATTAAAAAAAGAAGCTAACAATGAATGGGATGAAAGTAGTGCAAACTTTTCAATGACTGAATTAACAGTAATAATTCATTTTGGAAGTAATAGAGTGTGTATCCTTCTTGGACTAGCATGCCTATTCTGGCAGAACAACATATGCTTCAATGTGTAGATATAGAGAAATGACAGAATATGGAAGCCAGAGAATTGGGATATATTTATTAATTGATGTTTATTATTTGTCCATTAGGGAGCCAGAGGCCTGCAGGGAAGAAGCACTCCCAGGGACTCTTATATTGGTGAGAAGGGAAAAAAAAGGGTCAGAAACCAACATGTTTTGTGCAGATACCAGCAGATTTCTGGTTTTCTCTGCAAATATAATGCCATTATGCATTTTCTGTGCATAATATAATGCCATTTGTTTTTCTCCAGACATTGATTCCATGTATCCAGAGATATATTACTACTTTTCAAGTAATGATATTCCTGTTCTCAAACTGATAAGGAGGAACTTTTTTTAAGCAATAGAAAGTCATTGAAAACCTCTGGTCAAGAGATGGAGGATAACTTGAGTAAAATAGATTTGGATTTTTTTAATTGCCACAAGATGGCAGTAGAAGTTAGGTCTAAAAGGAAGGTTAACTAGACACTGATTATGTTAGCCTGCAGGGTTATCAGGCTTCTTCACTGTGTATTAAACTTAAAAATATTCCAGTGAAGAATATCCACTTAATTTCTTGTCCCTTTCCTCTTAGAACTATTTTTGTTATTCCTGTTTTCAAGGGCATTAGCCAGTCCATAGAAAATACTTAATCAGAGAGGATTTCCCTTTCTTTCACAAGAGGCAATTGTGAAATTTGCACATTTCTTTCTGGATAACCATTTTTGAAAATCACCAAATAGTTTCCCTCCGATTCTTTCATATTCACCCTTTGAAAAATGTAGAAGTTCTAGAGAATTTGTCAGGTTAGTAGTAATAGTCTCTCTTTCATTCCTGATTTTAGTTATTTGAAGCTTTCTACTTTTTTTCTTGGACAGCCTGGCTGAAGACTAGCCAATCTAGTTGAACATTTCAAAGAAACTACTTTTGGTTTTGTTGATTTTCTCTGTTTTTCTATTCTCTATTTCATTTCTTTCTGCTCTAAGCTTTCTTTCTTTCCTTCTGCTTGTTTTGGGTTTAGTTCTCTTTTAGTTTCTTAAGACAAAAGTCTGGATTATTGATTGGAGACCTGCATTTTTAATGTAGACATTTTCAGTTATAAATTTCACTCGAAGCACTGCTTTCGTTGTATCCTATAAGGTTTAGTATTTTCTGGCTTTGTTTTCATTCATCTCAAAGTATTTTCTAATTTCTTTTGTGATTTTTTTTTTGAACCATTGGTTATTTGGCACTGTGTTTTTAATATCAACATATGTTTAATTTTCCCAGATTTCCTCCTGTTTTTAATTTCATTCCATTGTGGTAGTATTTTACTAAGTATTTACTAAGTATTTACAAAGTATTTTACTTTGTATAATTTAGATACTTCAAAATGTATGGCCTGGGGCGCCTGGGTGGCTCAGTTAGTTAAGCATTTGCCTTTGGCTCAGGTCATGATCCCCGGGTCCTGGGATGGAGTCCTGTATTGGGCTCCCTGCTCAGCGGGGTGTCTGCTTCTCCCTCTGCCTCTGCCACTGCCCCTGCTTGTACTCTCCCCACAGATCAGGGAGCCCCCTTCTCTCTCTGCCCCTTCCCCAATTCGTTCTCTTCTCTCTCTCAAATAAATAAAATCCTTAAATATATACATATATATACACATACATACATATATATATATACACACCTAACAACAAAGTCCTAAAAGACATGAAGCAAAACTAACAGAATTGAAGAGAATTAGAGGGAAACTACTGGACTTAATACCCCACTTTCAATAACAAATAGAACTAGATAGAAGATAAGCAACGGAATGAAGATTTGAAAAACATTATATACCAACTAAATCTAACAGACTTCTTTAGAAGCTTCTTAGATGTGTAGATTCCTTTTTTTTTTTTTTTACCTAATTTGGGAAGTTGTCAGCCATTATTTCTTCAAATAGTCTTTCTGCCTTGTTCCTCTTTTCTTCTTCTAGAAATCCCATAATGCATATGTTGATACACTTGATGGTATTCCACCAAGGTCTCTGAGGCTCTTTTCATTTTTCTCCATTTTTTCTTTCTCTTCCTCACATTTGGTAATCTCAGTGGGCTTTAAATTGCTGATTTTTTTTCTTCTGGTTGTGCTGATGAGTCGTTCTAGTGAAGTTTTAATTTTTGTTATTATACTTTTCAACTGCAAAATTTATATTTGGTTCTTTTAAATATATTTTTTCTTTATTAGTATCCTCTATTTGTTGAGATACCATACGCATATTTTCCTTTAGTGCTTTAGACATGGTTTCCAAAGATATTTGAGCATATTTAAAATACCTGATTTAGGGCACGTGGGTGGCTTAGTCGGTTAAGCATCTGCCTTGAGCTCGGGTCATGATCTCAGGGTCCTGGGATTGAACATCTCATGGGACTCCCTGTTCACAGGGAGCCTGCTTCTCCCTCTCTTCCCTATTCAAGCTCTCTCTCGCTATCTCTCTCTCTCTCAAATAAATAAATGAAATATTTTATTCATTTATTTATTTTTTTAAAGATTTATTTATTTGAGAGAGTGAGAAAGAGAGAGAGTACATGAGAGGGGAGAGGGTCAGAGGGAGAAGCAGGCTCTTCGCCGAGCAGGGAGCCCAATGCAGGACTCGATCCTGGGACTCCGGGATCATGACCTGAGTCGAAGGCAGTCGCTTAACCAACTGAGCCACCCAGGTGCCCAATAAATGAAATATTTTAAATAAAATACCTGATTTAAAGTCTTTGTCTAGACAAAGTCTAGGCTGGGCTTAGTTCAATGTCTGGGCTTCCTCAAGGACAGCTTCTGTTGATTGCTTTATTTCTTTATATGGGTCATACTTTCTTGTTTCTTTGCATACCTCATTTTTTTTTTGAAAACTGGACATTTAAAATTAATATAACATGGCAATTCTAGGAATCAGATTCTTCCCCCTCCCCAGGGTTTTTTTGTTCTTTCTGTTTATTGTTGTTTAGTGACTTTTTAAAAATAATTCTATAAACTCTGTATTGTCATGTGGAGCCTCCAAAGTCTCTATTCAGTTAGTTTAGTGGTCACCTAATGATTGGACAGAGAATCCCTTAAACACTTTGAACTAGTAAGTCTCTCAGTCTTTGCTGAGGGATTGTGTGTGTGTGTGTTGGGGTTCACTTTCAGCACTTAGCCAGGCAATTGACAACTGAGCCTTAGCCTTCAACCTGCTTGTATGACCTCACAGTAAGAGACTGGGGACTTTTCAGGTCTTCTCTAAGCATGCATACAGTCCTGCATATGCATATGGTCTAGATCCCAAGAATGTGTTGTTTTCAGAGTCCCCACCAAAAACTCATTCCCCATCTCTTCCATCTAAGCTTTCCCATTAGCCTATTATTTGCCCCAATTGATATGCACATTCTCAGGCAGCCCAAACATGCGCTTCTAATTGTTTACAGCAAACACTCCTGGGGAGAAGGCTTTTCACAGCTGGTAAACTCTAAGCATCAATTCCTGATGAGTTTGCGCTCCAGGTCAGGTCAAATAAAGGCAGCCTTGCAAGTGGAGTCTTCCAGTTGCCACTGGACGGGTCAAATGATTATTTTCTGTGAATGAGGCTTTGAAAGAGTTCCAACCCCATTCCATCCCCACGATGACTGCCAGAATGTTGGTTTTCAAGGCTACCACGGAGCTGGAGGAGAAATGGGAATAGGGCAAGTTAAAATGCCACAAAGTTCATTGTTTTTAACCTCATTTGGCTATTTTTCTGGAATAAACATTCCCCAGACTGCTGCAAGCCCTTTGTTAATTTACAGAGTTCTGAAAAAGTTGATTCTGACAATTTTTGCCAGTTCTCTCATTCCTTTTATGGAAAGAACTTTTGGAGGTCCTTATGCCATCATTTTTGCTGTCACTCCTAACCAATTTAATGACCCTTTGTCTTTAGCCATTCTTTCTGGTAATCCCCATCTTAGAGGGGAAACGAAAGCACAGATATATTAGAGCACATCAAAGCAGTAGTAAATCCTGGTCCACAAATTAATGAAAGAGATGGGGGCCTGGGTGGCTCAGTCCACTAAGCGCCTGCCTTTCAGCTCAGGTCATGATCCTGGGGTCCTGGGATTGAGCCCCCACATGGGGCTCCCTGCTCAGCAGGGAGTCTGCTTCTCCCTCTCCACCTGCCCCTCACCCCGTTGGTGCTCTCTCTCTCTCTCTCTCAAAATAAATAAAATCTTTAAAAAAAAAGAGAGAGAGAGGAAAGCACCTTTAGGAGACACTGCTGGGTGATTTGTGAGCTTTTTCACTTGCTATTAGCCCTTAAGCCTAACATATATACTGAAAATCTTTGGTCCCCAGTTTCTTTGCCCTGGTCCCAAGTATACCTGAATGAATCTTTTCTCCAGTTCATGGGTTATCTCACAGGCTCATTTTTATGTTTTCCAGAAACCCCTTCACCGGCTTCTACTCACGGCCTATCTTACAGGTAAGTAATTATGCTTTCTTTCACTGGGGATCTGTTCACACTGACACTCTGCCAGCACCCTGGGGTTACTTTTCTACTGGCTTATACCACTTAAGTTTATAAATCTACCTTGTAAACAAGAGAGCATTTAATAGTACTGTGTCTTATATATGTCCAAATTACTTTCAGTCACAAGCAGGGTATTTATTTCCTGTCTTGTCTAAATATATAGGCTCTCCCTTTCCATATGGTTTTTACCCTTACCTTCCTTTTCTCTGCTGATGCTTCTATTTCCCCTCCGTAGGCCTTCACCTGCCTCTTCTGGACAGGGGATTTTTTCTTTCAGACCATCCCCAAATGGTGGGGATTCAGGCCACACAAGAGTCCTCACCCCCAACAATTCAGGTATGTTAAATAACATTCCCAAAGGAATGGAGCTTCAACCATTGGCATATATACTAAAATGAAGATTTTCAAGGTGAAAAGAAGTTAGGAAAAGGGCGGACTTTATAACCTACCTTTTAAATTGCCTAGCCAAGTGTTTTTTCTTCTGAGTAGTGTTCTACAGATTAAGACCTACCTATTGGGGCGCCTGGGTGGCTCAGTCATTAAGCGTCTGCCTTTGGCTCAGGTCATGATCCCAGGGTCCTGGGATCGAGCCCCGCATCGGGCTCCCTGCTCGGCAGGAAGCCTGCTTCTCCCTCTCCCACTCCCCCTGCTTGCGTTCCCTCTCTCGCTGTGTCTCTGTCAAATAAATAAATCTTAAAAAAAAAAAAAAAAAAAAAAAAACCTACCTATTTACCCTGACCCATAAGTAACACTGCCAAAGAACTGCCCAAGGGAGTTAACTTTCACCATTCCAATTCTATCCTCCAGGTCAGAGGGAAAGCAGAACCCCACTAGAGAGTTTTCCTGGTTTCCAGCTACCAGTCCAGCAGGTGAGCCCTGGCTAATCTAATTGCCTGCATGTGAAAAACTCACATGGTTAGGCCTGCACACGAAATGCCTTTTTGGTCACCTGTTAAGGTGGTAGAATATAACCAGTGGAAAATGACAGAAGTTTCAAATGTGGTAATCGTATGTTCACAATCTTCCAGGATGGTCTCAATTTCAAAGATTCTATCCTACTATCAGATTAGCTTCCTAGTTTGGGGTTTAAAACTTAGGTCACATGGTAGTGAATGGCTTTAAACTGAGAGGTCTTGGCCAGTGTGAACAAAGTGTGTAGACACAACTAACATTCCCAAAAGTTCCACAAAAAAGTATTTCAAATGAATATATCTTTTGGGTAGAGGTACTGCTTGAATAGGGAAAAACCATGTGCACGTCTCTAGAGATGGTTAGAATAATGCTTTATAAATTTATGGGACTGATATAATGTAGGCAACAAGAGGAAAAGGGCATGGGAACAAGAAGAGAGGTTTGTAAGGAGCTCTACATGAAAAGTCCAGTCTTGCCTTTTAAGTTAACTTTTATGGCCCAGGTTTTGAGGATATTTAGGCCCTTTTTCAATGCCAAGCTCCTGGTGACCCCGAGGACATCCTAAGGTAGGTAAATATTTTGCTCTCATATTCCAAATGCCCTTTATTTTCATTGGCAAAAAATTAGGATCTAAGCCCTAAGAGGGAACACTGGGGAAATAACATCCCTGAGATCCTCACATGTGGAGGGATTAACCTACAGGTGAAAAAAGAATTGAGACATATAAACCATCTACAAATATATGGCCCCTAATTTGATCCTGACTGAAACAAACTGTAAAAAAACAAAAACTTATGAGAAAGTTGAAAACTGAATACCTCTTGGATATTTAATATTAAGGAATTGTTAATTGTTTTCTTTTGTAGGCATAATGGCTATTATGATTATGTTTTTAAAAATAGTCTGTTTTTTGGAGATAACATACTAAAATGTTTAAAGATAGGAAGTTAAATGATGGTCTGGGTTTTGCTTTAGTATAATCTAGTGGACATAGGACAGAGAGAGTAGAAATGAAAAAAAATTGGCTAGGAGTTATTTGTTGAAGTTGAGTGATGGATACTCATCAGCTCATTATACTACTCTACTTTCGTATTTTTTGAAAATTTCAATAATAAAGTTTTAAAAAAGGTATTAAACGAAGTACCACCTCCCCAGAGGCATAAGAATCCTGCCTTGCTGGTAATCCTCTATCGGCATAGTCTCCAGGTCTCCAGTCTCCTCCCCAGGTCTTCCAAAAGTTTTGTTTAAATATTCTGGCCTTATTACCATAAGCCACTAAAATGTTCTAGAGAGTTTCATAATTAGCAACAAAGCCTTTGTCACACTAGGTGTGTCAAATCTTAGTTTGGAAAAGTTAGTTATCACACAATGGAGAAAACTGGGGCAGCAGCAGTGGTGATGTGCCATCTTGATAAACTTCATGTAATGGTTTGAGGGCCTTAATTACCCTTTTTGTTATAAATGCCCATATCTGCCTTCCTGCCCTCTGCTGCAGACTCTCTACGAACAGAGACAGATGGGATTAGCCAGGTCAAGAGAAGCATGGACTATTTCCAGATAGATCGTCTTCAAGGTCTGATCTATACATATTGCTTAAGGAAGACCTGTAGCATACAATACCCATTAAGTGTGACAGCCTTGGAAAATGTTTCCCTGCCTTGTTTCCTGGTTTCACTGTGTACCCTTACCTCTCTTGACCTTTACCATATACACTCTGTATTACCTCCTAGGAAAATGGTCAGGCGTTATATAAGGCTAGTACTTCAGGAGGATGTTTAGATCTCTCCCACACTCATGTAGTTCTCTCATTTCCTGCAACTTAAAGGTTGTAAAAACAATTCTTGGCATCACTGGGGGTGAGAGGTAATATACTCATTAAGGATGGTTTATGTCTATATTTCATTCTTTTAGCATTGGGTATATTCTTCCATTGCCAGTGTTAATAAGCAACAACTCTGTTCCATGTCCTCATTTATTATACTTCTGTTTGCCTATTGTTTGCTCTATTCCTAGTTAACTATGTTGACTTTCCTTTCTGTTGGAGACCCAGACTTTCAGCTTACTGAAGTATATAGATAAAATAAAGATGTCCTTTTATTGTTATTGCATTGGTTTTATATTCTAAGCTCTCGAATGGTGGAATGGGCAAAGACCACCACCACGGACACGAAACCTGTATTCTTCTTTGGGTACTAAATAGAAATGAGAAGTTAAGTGGGTCAGCCACGGGCAGGCAGGCCATAAGCAAAAATATTGAAAAAGTGTAAAGATAGCAAACACCTGCCAGAAATAAATTAGGTCCTGGGAATGACCCTGAAGCTGAACTAGGATTCCCTACTCTTTCTGGAACTTTGAATTTATTTTTAAAGGCATTTATCTAGACACCTCTTCTGGGCAAGAGCCTGTGCTATATAGCAAGTACAGGAAAAAATCTGCCCAGTGATAGACAGATACTGATGTACTGCCTTTTAAAGTTTTTGTTCTTTTAAATTTTTTTTAAAGATGTATTTATTTATTTTAGAGAGTGCACACGCATGTGAGTGGGGGAAGGGACAGAGGGAGAGAATCCTCAGAGGCCCCACTGAGCGTGGAGCCCGATCCCACAACCCATGAGATTATAACCTGAGCCAAAACCATGAGTCGGGTGCTTAACCGCCTGAGCCACCCAGGTGCCCCAAGTTTTTGTTTTCCTAATCTACCTCAATATATCCTTCTGCTTAAAAAAAAAAAAAAAAAAAGTATACTAAATCAGAATGTTAATGGATTTGGCTCCATTAATCTCTAAACCACAGAAATGGCAAAGTGGAGGAGAGAGAAACAATTTTATTTGTGGCCTTTTATTATTATTCTAGCAATCTGGGGCTTCCATTCTTATTTCTAGATGGTTAACCCATTGATATCTTTATATCTGACTCCATCTGATGAAAACCATTCTAAAACATCAATAATCAATTCAGTTAAAGACCAGGGTCCCTCTGTCCCCAAGACAGATCCTATAAAGAGAGGAAAAAGTCTCAATTACAGACACAAATTGAACCAACACCAAAAAGATGAAAAATTAGTCTCTGTCAAGCTAGGCAGGAGGGAGTTTCAGGTTTGTAAAACCAAACCTGGAACCTACCTGCACCCATCTTCTGAAGAGTAGAAACCATCCCTCTCCAACCTAATTCTACTTTTTTAAAGGACATTTCCCCTAATTCCCACATCCAATAAATATCCAGTCTAAATTATTCTCCACCCAATTATTAAACTTTTCACAAGCTCCATGGGGAAGATTTACCCTGAGACAAATAGTGAACAGAATGGGGATGTTGGAAAAAGATAAAAAAAAAAAAAGTACAAGGCAAAATGGTCCCAGTATCAGAAATGAAAACATTCTGCTACCTGTGCAACTCAGTAACGAGGAAGGTAGAACATATAGTCTAAGTTGGTGTGCGTTAGGGAAAGATTTGTGATGAGACTGGGACATACAAAGACTCTTAGCTGTATTATGCATGGACTCGTGCTCAGAAAGAAAAGGGGTGTGAGGCAGCCTTACATTCCAGGGAAAATGGTGGGACTGGGGGATGCACTGGAATCATCAATTGAATCAAAATTCTTTACTCCTCCTTTTCAGTCCTCCTATAGATGTGGGGCCAAGGTCTGGGCTCTCCACAGTACACTAAGGTAAAAGAACAGCAGACATGAAGAGAGCAAAAGCTTTTCCCCAACCCATGGTTTGGACCAGATCCTTAACACTCTCTTCACTGAGACGAGATGCCTGATTTCTGCTCATCCAGTCCCTACCTCTCTCTGGGTCCTATGGTCATCCTCCCTGGTCCACCCTCACTACATCCCGGATTCCCCAACCTCAAGAACACAAAGCTTTTCAGTTCTTTGCCACAAGGTAATTTAAAAAAATGTGGTTTCTTTGTTTAAACAGTTACTAAGTTGGTTCATCTTTTAGTAACAGACCTTCCCTCCCCTAGTCCCCCGACTCAGTCCTGTATGATCACATCATCATCGTCATCCTCATCTTCCTCCTCCTCCTCCTCCTCTTCATCCTCGTCGTCTTCTGGCAGTTCTTCCTCCTCCTCTTCCTCCTCTTCATCTAGACAAACCACCACCTCAGCTGGCTCAGGGAATCGAGAGTCAAACCAATCCAGTACCTGCTGGGTGCTAAGCCTTGATGCCTGACTCAGTTGAGGGATATCACTTTCCCGTAGCTGTTGATGGGCTGCCCAGTACCTCTCCAAGGGTCGTAAATCCGGTGGGGGAGGGGGGTTCGGCAGAGGTGGTGTCTCAGCCCATTCACTCAAGGAGCGGGTTGAAGGCGGGGGTGTGGGAATTGCTGGGTCCTGGAAACTAGGGGCACCAGGTACTGCATTGTCCCGAAACCATTTTAGTTGCCCATGCTTCAAGGCATAGCGTGTGTCACCAAACCACTGAATGATCTCAGGTCGAGGTAAACCAGTGATCTGTTCTAATTTATGGTAATCCTCACGCCGTGCCCATTGGCACTGTAAAAAAAAAGATTTGAGGATAGCCAGCTGCTCTTTGGTTTTGCGCTTGGTCTTTCGCTGGCGTTGCATATCTGGGGAAAGGTACTCTGCAGGGCCAACCCTACCTGATACTGAGTTATGTCTTAGCCCTTGGGGCCAGGCTGGCTCCAGATGTGGGGGCAGTGCCTGTTCATTGGGTGACAGTGGCTGTGAGATACAGCCCAGTGACTGGAGGGGTTTAGAGGTGGCAGTAGCTCCGTTAGCCAGTACCGGGAAAGTGGAAGAAGAGGTAGAGGAAGAAGGAGGAGTCATATTAGATGCTGACTCCTGCTTACAACTACTAGCAAGTAGTGACATTGGTGGGGGCTTATCCCGAGCATGTGGCTGGTGGACAGCTGTGGAGTGATTCCATGAAGCAGAACCTAGGCCATGTGACTGGTTGGGACCCCTGCCTGCCTGCTCCTTAGAGAAGCCACTGCTTTGAAGATTCTGCCAATAATCGGATTGGTGGGGGAATGTCCCACTGCCAGGTGCCATCAGGGGTTCCTTTGCTTTCTGGTGACTCAGCAGCTCTGAGGACTCCTCAGGCTCCACCTTCAATCCTTTCATCTGGGTGGGCTCACTAAGAGTCAGGGGCACTATTCCAAGACCCACTTGTTCTGGAGGTGGCATTGGAGAAGGAGGCACCTCCTCTGGGGGCCGCCCTGCATGATGAGTAAAAGAGAGAAGGGATTTGAAATGGAGCTGGTCCCGATGGTAGACCACTCGGGCTCGGGTCTCTTCTATTTCTTCAGATGACCAGCTAATGCCACAGCGGAGGCGCTGGGCCATGAACCAAGTCTTGACTTTCTCCATCTGCAGCCCATAGCGTAAGCAGAGAAGGGCAATGTCTGCTAGACTGGGATAGGGAAAGTAGCTGAAGGTTTGTAGCAAGTGTTCATTGCCATCCAGCTCACTGGTCTGGGCTGCCTGGGTCCACACAAGCTGTAGCTCCTCGGAGATTGGAGGGAGGCAGATGAGCCCCGCCGGGGAGCTATTAAGACTGCTGGCCTCTTTATTAGGAGGCATGGTGCTTTCTGATTTGTGCCCTTCAGAGATAGCTGTAATAAGAAGAGAAATAGCTCAATCACTGGGGCTCCTCTTTCAGCCCATTGTTCAATTTCTGCCAAACAAAATGCTGGACTCCAATACAATCAACTGTCTATGTGTACCGTGTTGGATTGCTTTTAAAGTGCTTTAACGATTTCTCATTTAATTTTCCTAACTTTATGAGCCTGTTATAATTCCTGTCATATGTATGGAAAAACCAAAGTCCATAGAAGTTAAATTACCCCAAGTCACATGACTCCTGAATACTGTCACCAGGACAAAAATCTGTCTTTAAGGTTAGGAGGAAAATTCATCCTTATATTGCCTTTATTTTTCTAATTCAAACTCACTTCATCCTCTAAGTTCATGGAACAGGTGTCACAAAATGAAAAATCAACCACAAAAATATAAAGTGCAGTAATCTCAGAACTGATGCAAATGCTTTAACTCCTGACAATTTATGATTACCTCTAGAATGTGGAGATGGGGCGGGGGGGTGCGGGGGGACAGGTACAAGAGAGTATCTAGAAGGCAGGACAGCACTGTTCCTCCGCCCAGCCCCCAGGTCCCTTTCCTCTTCCCTTCTTGGTGGTGGAGTCCTTCAGGGAGGGGAATGATAGTGCCTTTAAGCCTAAACCCAAACTTGCTAAGCTTTATTTTCTCTCTGTAGGATAAGAGACAGGTCAGGTATCTGGGATAAGTGGGGCTTACTCCTCCTGGGTTTGGAGGTCCTGTGGGGGTAGAGAGGGAACTCTTTCCACCAAGTCATCCTTGGAACAAAGGTTAGCCCCTCCCCCCAGCCTTTGTCTCTTCCAACAGCTCAATCTCTCTCCGGGGAGCCTGGAGAGCTCCCTCAGACTGTAATAGCCCCTCCGCACAGGGTGGAAGGCCTGCCAGTCTTATCTCTGCAGCCCAGCTTTCTTCTCAGGGCCAGGTGGGCAGATTCACTATGAATTGCAGCCAGGTCCTGCAAGCTCCCCAGCAGCACCACTGCTCCTGGGCTGTGGGTGTGGGGGCTGCAGGGAGAGCCCCTGATTCTGCATCATTCCCGAAATACCTACTCAGGGTATTTCCCAGAAAGTTCGTTGACCAAATTTAACTCAGCTCCCTGTCTGGGCATTAGAAACTCTTTAACACATCTGTCACCCTTTACTATTAGAGGAAGCCCATCTGAGCTTATAAATATTTACCTTGGATATGTTAAGGATGGGACAGGATTCCTATGTAAATGCTACATGATGAACTGAGAAGAATCTCAAGTCCAGGAAGTTATAGTAGTATGGTATCAAGGGATTTTATATGACGATTAGAAAAATTTGGAAGCATTTTAATGAGTCACCATTTCCTTTTAACAAGCAGATCTAATGAATCAAAGGCCATGCAGATCCTTCAACTTGAAGAGAAGCTGAAGAGGGTAAATGGAGGCAACATGGCACAGTGGGTAGAAATATGATCCCTGAGTAAGGCCAGCCTGCAGTTTGAATCCCAGTTCTGCCACTTACCAGCTATGTGATCTTGGGCAAGTTACTGAAC